AAGATATGATGCGAACGTTTTTTCTCATTTCTGGCACAAATATCGCGAAGCTTTGCCGCAGAATGAGAAATGCGAAGGCCATTTTCGACGGGTTTCCATTAAGGGATGAAATACCGCGTTCCATATCCTCAATGTAGTCGTTTCAATTCCCCAAAATGAGCTTCTAACAGGCAGCAACCCATTCTTTTTCGGCCACCTGCTTTAAACATAATGAAACTCGATCGAGTTATCGCATGCTGTTTCCAGTCGAACCTTGGACCCAATTTCGGCATTGCGTTCTTCGAAACTCTATGTAAAAATCGTGGAGGTTGCACCGCTCTCGTATAGTCCGTTGGCTCTCAGTAGATGCCATTCCTGAGTTTGTAAATGTTTTTTCTTCATCCTTTCCACTTCTCACGGAAATCTTTACCGCGGGGCAGCGCAACAAATCGATTCCCTTTGTAAGCTAATCAAGTAGTAAAAGTGTTTGCGAGGGGGGAGAGGAGGAAGGGGACCATCCACGTTGGTGAGCCAGTTGCTGTGCTTGGGGTAAGCCGTAGACAGGGGAAGGAATTTCTGGGGGAGGATGTGAGCAATATGTGTTCTTCCTGCCGTTTCTCCCCTCTACTGGGCTTAGTCTAGTGTCACCTACCATTCGGCTCGGCTGTGATGTCCCCCCAAAGGATCTTTGATGCCGTCTCCTATGTTATCCATTGTTGAAACCTCGCAGACCAGCGCGAAAAGGCGAAATTGTCGCAACGTTGGACCAAAAATAAAAGGATCCAACTATCTCACTTTGACTTAGAAGCATGCGAGCTAAACAATTATCTCACCCCGCTTTACAACAAAACCCTACCTTGGCAGGACTTTCATTGAGAAGAGCTAGGTTTTTGGGATTCCACGCTGTCCCTCGATGGAAATGGTGTGCACACAACGACCATTTCTTTGCCATTTTACATTCCATTCCTCATTCGTTACCTTATTACCTTAGTAACAGGTTTTATTACCATTCCAGCAGCTGTTCACCTTGTCATGGTAATAGCTGCACTTTACACCTCTACATTATTACGCACCATTACCACCTGTTCAACTATAGATTGTGACATGAAAAATAAGGAAGCTGTGAAAAGTGGGACGGCTGCTGTCAGACTGCGACTGCATTTAGTGCCTCTTAAGGAATTGTCCTCGGCTAAATCAGTCCTAAATATCATACATTAGATAAACTAACATAAGTATAATATCTGAATAAATCGTCCTAAATTTTTCAGAGGAAGTTGATTAAATGCGCTGGACTTCACAATTAAAGTTTCGGTTCCTCCAACTTCAGTGCAAAAATGTTATTTGAGGTGTTTTTCAAGATTGGCCAGCGGATCGATCCCTTTCGTTAGCGAACTAACTATTAGTATATCCAGGTTGCTTGGATGTATCAAACACGATGATTGATGTGTAAAATCTCTCAGTTTTTCGGCTTCGCGCCGGCGGTCGCAAGCACGCTCCATAGGGAGCTTTTCCTGAGATCATAAGCGATAATCAGAATCTTCGGACATCCTCTCGAATCTCCACGCGAATACAGTTCTGAGCTGTCGCTGCCCTCCATGAGAACGTGGGCGAGCCGCTCCCACAGCAGATGACTTCTTCGAGTGGGGACCGCCAAGAGAAGCAATAGACAGCTCTTAAATGGAATTCCGTGAGGTGCGATGACGACAACGATGAGACGATGAGCCCTTCCGTGTGGTTCGCCGGAGATGGAAATTGAAATTGGCGTCACGCCGCCGTCGCCAGGGCATTGACACCCTTTGCAGCTATGGCCAGGGGATCGCTGGAATTGTTGGATTTCCGGGAATCCATCGAGCCATTATGGTCGAGGTTGTTGAGACCTCTTCCAGCCATTGTTCGTGTATCGATAATGGAGAACAAATCGCGTCATTTCGACTATTGTTTAGACGCAGTCTTCGAGTGCTTTTATAGCCTCTCCCAGCGCAATTTTCAAAATCCGCCGCCTTCGTCGCGTTCTGCTTGCTCAGCCAAATGCTCCCTTGTAGCGCCATTCTCGTCTCTGTTAAGAAGTCGGCTGGATTGACTCTTTCACATTGTAAACGCTCAATATTTCTCAACAATATTGTGAACTTCTCTTTTTTGGGGAAGTGTGTTGCGAAACCCTCTGGGATGTCTTCTTTATCTTTTTTCCACCTACAGAGTGTTAGAAACCCAGTGGCCTGTAAAATGATTGGAAAGAATCGTTCTCGGAGTGACTGCCGTTAGTTTAGCCTGCCAGCTCGATGAGGGTGTTTAATGCATTGCAATCGAACCTTCAAATGAATTAGCCTTCAACCGCTAATCCTGCAACCGAGAGTGAGCCTAGCGCGCTACCGCGGCAGCACTCAAGCCCTCCATAAGTGGATTTTCGATTATTTCTAGGGCACTCGTAGATTCGACAGTTCTAGAAAATAAGCCAAGTTTGGAGTTTTTCTATTGTCTTGGTTTTCTTCTTCCAACCAGTCTGACGCATTCTCGGCTCTGCTAGAACTTCTCACCTTCTCACCATTTGCTTAATACTCAATTTTTTTGTAAAGTTAGTGTCCATATTAGGGCTATATTTAGCCCTTTTTCATGGAAGTCGCATACTTCAATAATTGAATAATCTTCGAAAATGATTTGGGTTCTTTTCTGTGTATGCTTGTTTTAGTGTCTCTCTGGAACAGTTTCACAGTTACCTGCGGCCCTAGTTTCACGCTGTAGCGCGCATTTTTGGCGCAGTCAATAAATAAATAAATAAATAAATAAATACACTTTGTTGTAGGACAGTTTTTCCGCATCGGACAGGCCGCATACGCCACTCCTTCGATTTCTAGAGTCCTGAATACCTTTGAATTTTTCACATAAACTCATTAATAGATAGTGACGTCCCAGCAGCACGCTAATGGTAATAAATTAAGTTCGGTTGGATATCACAAGTCATATGTCTGTCTTCAAAAGAGCCGTCGGTATTGCGCCGTGTTGATAAAATCACTTTTGATTTATGTTGCCGATTATTTTTGTTTATAGAAAATTCATGCCTTTGTTAGTAGAGCGGCATTTTCTGCTAAATCTTACTTGCATTTTCAGTCGTGGATGGACACCGAGCATCGGGTCATACTCAACGTCGGTGGTATACGACACGAGACCTACACACATGTGCTGAAAAAGATTCCAGCCACGAGGCTGTCCAGGTGAGCGCTCGTTCACTCTCGTGTCGCTTGTTTTATAGACGCTATTTGTCTCTGGACTATCATTGCTTCCGAAATTTGCCAATTGCCGCTGTGGAAATTGCTGCCCACGGCTCGGGTTTCTCACGGTTCAATTACACATCCTAGAATGAGAACCACATTAGCTTCGGATTTCCTGATAGGATCGCTGAAATACAACCGACCATTTTCACTAACAATTTCAGGTTGACGCCGAATCTCGCCAATTATGACCCGGTACTGAATGAATACTTTTTTGATCGACATCCTGGTGTGTTTTCGATGATACTCAATTACTATAGGACAGGTGAGCAGGTTTTATGGATAAGCTTAAAAGCGACGTTTATTTTCAAGCTCTTTTTTGTACACAAATCAACCGTCAATATGGACGAGCCCGAAGGGTTTCATCTCATCGCGAAATGACGAAAGCGGTGGAGATTTATGGGATCGTTAGCTGCGTGTTATGTATCTGCGCAGGATTGAGCAAATAAATTTTAGGAGTTCAGAAATCTGAAAGCGTAATTCCCAAAATGGCACTGAGGGGTGAACAGCTGGACCAATTCCCAAGGCTGACTTCTCATTTGAAACCTTTGATGGGAAGTGTCACGCGCACAGGAAAACGGAATAGGAATTTTCAACGTGCACATATCTGACCCCTCAATGGGAACAGTTGAACTTATAGGCCTGAAGTATTTTCATATTAACAAGGAAAGGATTTCCGGCGCTGATCAGTCCTTATGCGTCTACGCCACGCAAACTACTTCCATTTAAAATATTACAAGCGTAGTGGCATTTTAAATACGACATGGCACATGCTATAGCTTGCGTTGCGTTGGCCGGACGATACAGAAACCAGTCTACGTAGAGTGCCAGATTGATCCCCGGCAGCCACCGGGACCCCCTTCACTGCGTAATCTTGATGCCTTTTGATGCCTTTGGTTGCCCTCCACTGTAAAAAATTTCCTCCACCTGCTCTCCATTTCCACTTCTCCCCTCTCAACTGCTCTACCGCCATTGTAGCAGCAGCACCATTGGAACAACGCAAGAGTGTGCTCGGTAGGTTGTTTATAGCAGCCGCTGTTCTGTAGTCAACAAAACATTCACTTGCAAGAACAGAGGTAGAACGCAAACCTCCTGCAAGCTACCAATTTGGGTGAGGCAGCTTGTTTACTCTGATTGGGTTATCAGTCACCCGTCGGTTGCGGACGGAAGACATACAAAACCATAATCAAACCCGATATCACCAAGAATGGCGGTTTACTAAATAGAACGAATAATTACCGAATACTATCTCCAGAGGGAGGGAAGGCTTGCTTTACCCATACTAGATTTGAGCCGGAATCAAAATCCACATGGTATGCGCGTGATATGCGGCGCTGCTTGCCGCCGCACTCACTCCACGCTGCCAACGCTGTCGAGAACAAATCTTTGGGGGGCCCACATATGGATAATCGCAATCGGGAGTGCATCTGACTTCGTCTTTTCCGACGAATCGTCCCGATTTTGCGGTTTTTGAGCAGAAATTAAGCATTTTCCATCCACTCTTCTACGTATTATTATTGTACTGCGATTGACGCTATCAATAATTTTGAGTCGTTTATCAATTCTGACAAACAAACAATTTAAAATTAATATTTGCTGAAGTTCTGAGCCTTGCGCTCACTGGCGATGTCAGCTAACTGGCTCTTCAGACGTGTGAGTTCTGATAATATGATGTATACTGCCAAAGCTGAGTTAAGGGCGAAGCGGTTTTCGGAAGAGAAACTTGTAGCGGACTTGCCCCGGTTCCCGGTGAAGAGGTGCGGATTCGAGTCTCGCCTGGGTAAAGTTTTTGCTCATAAGGATGAACCAAGGACTCGAACAGTCAGTGTCTTCTAAGTAATAGGTTGCATAACTGGGCTAAAAGACATAACCCTTGTATTGACTCAAGCTGCAAGACCTATGTAAAAAGTCACTCGTGCTAAAAGTGTTCTTTTTCTTTGCCCCAGAAACGGTTACATCGATATTTCAGACAAATGACCGCTAGAATGAAAATCAGAGTTTCACTTAAATTTTCGCTTGGATAAATGCAACTTAGCAATCGAGATTCCCTAATCCATCTATTACGTTGTTAAGTCCAGTTGTAAAGACAATGGATTAATTGTTGCTTTCAAGGTAAACTCCACTATCCAACGAATGTCTGTGGGCCATTGTTCGAGGAAGAATTGGAATTCTGGGGACTAGATGCCAACCAGGTACTTTTATTTACTTTTAAGCACCTCACTTTCTTATGGGAATTTTTCCTCAGTTTTTCAACAATAACGGCAACTAGTTGGCGGCCGCAATAGCCTCTCATTTGAAAGCAAATTGGAAGTTATAGAGTAGTCCTTAGCGTGAGGGAAAAAAGTGTCGTTGTTATTTTCGTACGATAACCTCCCAGTTTGGTTCATTTTTCCTTTTATAGAAGTGTTCCGTTCAGGAACTAATTATGTCTTGCTACGAAGCATTTTGATCTGAAATCGTCTGAGTTTGCATTAATTTAGGTTGAGCCGTGCTGTTGGATGACCTACACTCAACATAGGTAAAATTCCTTTAATTTTTGTTTAGCTTTCTTCTTTTTCAATGTATTAGTTGTTTTGAAAGTGTTATTTTGATTTCTTCCCACTTTCCTTACTTATGTTTTTCTTCTTCAGAGATACACAAGACACTTTAGCTGTAATTGAATCCTTGGATCTAGATGGCGATCCTCCAACCCAGGAAGAGGTAATCAGTGACTTTTTGACTTTTTCCATCGTCTTATTTCGACGTTTCATTTTGTTGTCCACGTACCTCTCGTTACTCCTTAGGCGGACGTGGGGTAGTGTCAAGGTGAGCTGCTCACCACGCGCACAGCCCAGAACTGAACCACGGATGGCATGCCGTCCCTACCGACTGAGTTTTCCATCGCTCCGCGCTTGGTTGATTGTAATAATACCAGACTTGTCGGAAAGCTAAACTTAATGGACCTGTATTTGTAATGGCAACGCGATTCGGCTTTTTGTATACAGGGTGGTCCAAAATTATGAGGACCAAGACATTGTGTCGTTAAAAACGCATAGTAGCTTGATGGAACAAACCAACTTCTGGGAAGTGTTTGTAACTCTTATCTCAAAGTAATTCCAGAATAGAATTGAGATCTGCCACCTGCCCCGTTTACACGAGCCTTCAGATGAAGCGTGCGGTGGCACGCAACTGAGGCGTGTCAAATGTTTCCAGGCCTTCTGCTCTGCTTTCTTCAGGGAATCAAAGTTTTGTGGGGCATTTATTTGCGCTTGCATCCAGGGTGTGAAATACAGAAATCTAGAGCTATTAGGTGGAAGGTTCCATTGTAACAATTCTTCGAAAGCAACGAACTCGAAAAATCGCTTTTTAGAGAATTTTTGCTTTATTCTTGGGTGCTCGGTCCTGTAAAAAGTCCCAAGTAGACTACTCGAGTGGCTTTCTATCCACTACAGATGTGGAGTCTTTAGAGTGTCTGGCTGGGTTTTCACATCAATTTTTTCATTTTGGGAGTACGAAAGTCGACAAGGGGAGACCTAGTTTCTGCATCTGATAATTATCCTGGTGGTAACTGTAACTTTCGAGTCTCCGAATTTTCCATCTGTGGTGGTTCCAAACTTATTGAAGAGTTGAACTGTTGCTCATAAGAGCTTTCCCTGTTACGCACGCGGTCCTCATAATTTTGGCTCACCCCGTAGACTGAATTGCATTTTAAGTTTGCCTACGAGTGAATGGAAGTGGAACGCGAGGCGTATACTATGCAGAAAGAGATTGCTCAACGCAAAATGTTTCATTCTTTGTATTATCTTTGTTCCAAAACAACTTTTTTGACCTCTCCTTTTATTTTATTTTCTTCGCTCTTGCTTTGCGAGTATTTTCCGCTGAATTTGTTCCTCAGAATGAGTATCGAAGGGCAAAGAGTGGGCCAGTTTGCTCTAATGGTCGAATGTGTAGGTAGAGGCGCTATGTAGTACAAAGGTGATGCGGCATCTGTCTGACCACTTCTTAGTAGAAGCGAGAATCTGCTAATCCCTCTATAGCGAAAGTTCAGATGAAATAAAGGAAATGCTCATGCAGATAAATTCAGCTTGACCCGTACATTGGCACTGCATTTCCTGCCAATTTGAATCGTCTACAACCTTCCAAGAGAACTCACGTAGCAGTTCTGGTCTCCGTATTTGTGACCAGCGAATCGCTTCGTATCGACTTACCCAGAACCCTTTGAAAGTTTATGGAATGTTAAATGTCTTCCCTGATAACAATCCGCGGCGCAATGTGCCTCGAGAGGGGCCAGACGCCGCGCGCGATCTCTGCTCGTCCGCGCCCTGTGGTACTAAGCCTAGGAGTGGGCAGGAACTTTAGGAAGATGAAAATTGCTATGATCCTGGAGTTCCTCCTCCCTGCCGAGGCTTAGTCCCGATTTAGCGAAGGGGAAATGCTTACACAGAAACAAAACGAAAGATAGCGGTAACGGCGACTGACCCCCCTCGAGCAACATTGCGCCAACCGCTTTCGGTGAGGTCGGCTCGCCTCTTTCCGCGATTTTTTTAGCACCTGATCGAGGTTTTCTCGCACCTATGGTGCAGATATTTGGTATCGTAAACGTGTGTACATCCCATTTCACCAAGGCCTACCAGTTTCTCATAACGTCAAAATCGATTTTTCGTGATACCATCCTCCTTCCAAACCATTATATGAAACACTTCCTCTTTGAACGTCAACGGAGGTGTTCGCAATAAATCCTATGGGAAAGAATGGTAAAGTTACATAGTGGTAACAAATTACGGTTACAAGATAGGTGGTCATGGAAAATTCATACAGCCGAAAAAGACATCTGAAAACGAAACTATATTAATTGGAGGGTAATAAACAAAGAACAAAATTACCGAAGGTTACATTCATCATAACATTTCCGACCGACCCACCTCAAAGGCAAACCCCGGGATTAAACTGGTGCTATTAGCGCTTCGTGGTGATAGCTTAGCTGCGGAACGACCTGAAAGTGGAGAAGGAAAGCAAGAGAATCTTTGGGAACGCTGAAATTAAGGCCTTAACCTTCAATAAGGTCGGATGTGGTACGATGGCGAGACAGGGCGGTCAAAGAAGACAAAATACGCGAGAGAGCACGTCGTTTGAGAGAGCACGCTGATCTCTACATCAATCGAGGTGGGTGGGAAGCGTTGCAACGGGGTCGATGGTTGCAGGCCCGTAAGGATTAGCGCCCTAACCGCGCAATTTTTGCGACGAAGCTGGAGTGATCTAGGTAGGTGGGACCTTACAATTTCCCTCGCGGTATCCTTCCCACAAGTCGGGCTAATCCCGGGGTTTGCCTTTATGCGGACATGCGATGTTGTGGTGAAGGTGAGTTCTTCTCATACAGGCATTCAAAAACTGGGACTTTACGTGCCTATGGACCTTCATCTGAAACGGCAGCTCTCATTACCGTAGTTTTTGAGCACCCTGTACATCCGAGAAATGGTAATCTTCGCAAGCTATTGCAAGGAATTTCCTTCAATGTTCTATTTCTTTTTTAATGTTTATTCCACACAGTATGAATCGTTGAAATTTCAGATTGCGAAGAAATTTGGTTGGGAAGATGACTATTATTCTGGTACTCTATCGAAATGGCAACAAATCAAGCCGAGGATATGGGCGCTATTCGATGAGCCGTGGAGTTCTCAGTATGCTCGGGTAAAACATCTCATACACGTCTCATCAGTATCACCCAACAAATTCGATTCCATGGGTTTCAATGTTTTTGACCACGTACACGTTCCAATACGATATCACGATATCCCTCTTTTACCCTTTCCTCTATCCCACCACATTTTGCCCCCTAGTACGCCGATTGTACCGATGTTGTGTTCCGTCGAATTGTGAGCTCGAGTGCATGTGCATGTGCCTTAATTGCATGCTTAGCATCCTAGTGATTTATGTTTTGTGTTTTGAGTTAATCCTGATTTTATATGCTTTGATAGCTCACTTCCTGTGTCTCCTAGCAGCACTAGCATCTCTGTCACCGCAGCACTCACCCTGTCACGACGCTTCACCTTTCCTGAATGCACACGAATCAGGGATGAGCGGAAAGCCTGGAACAACGCGAAGCTATTAAAACAAAACAGCATCTGTA